TTCAGCGATTGAGTTTTAATGGCTTAAATGGACTAATGGCGCGTTTTTTCTGTTTCGAAAATAGAAAAAAGTTGCAGGGTTCCACAAATCCGAACGCAGATGCCTTATTATAGCCAAGTAGTGTTCCTCATTGATCGTTTGACCTTACGGAACGAATTCATGTTAAACCACATCACGGTAATCAAAGAAAGCGATGAGCATTTCGCACTTTGACAGACTTTGACGTTTTTTTTCGGCTTCGGCTCATGTTTGGATAGCTAGTCGCTAGATTTTTTTAATAGTTTCGGCATCATACTCATAAACCCACGGACGAATCGCATGAGGCAGTTTTTTGATGACTTCACGACATTCACTGAATACTTTGTGACCCTAAACTACTTGTGTCCGTGATAAAGTAGACTCCCCAAAACACTTCTGAATATGTTCAACGTTTCCGTAAACGTTATTCCATGGGAAACACAAAATTTCAAGCAAACTCATTCTTTGCCCTTTTTTCAATGCCAAACACACACTACAAGTAATTAACGTATGGAGATCAAACTCCACACGAACATTAAATAGCTTGAGCCAAACCGTGAAGAAAATTGTATATCGATTCGGTTTGTGCGCGCATTTCAAGTAGACCAGTCTGAGTAAAATTTACTATAATAATTGATCAGTTTTGCTTGGGAGGACTTTCAGCTTTATGCATCTTTTGCTTGATATCATTTACTGAACTCTCTCACGCAATCTTTTGAAGCTAACAAACATTTGTAACAGTGATTCTCTTATTTTTACTTTCTTATTGTAATTCGTAATATTATATGTCATTTGTCCTTTTGGTCCATAAAAATCTATAAAAAAAATTACTTGAAAAACTTTGAAAAACCCTTAACCATTTAATTGCACTCTTAACGCCACAAAAAGTAATTTAATTACATATTCTAAGAAATTTGAATAAATCCGCCATATTAGCAGATTAGTATATATTAAAAAAAAAATATTTTCCATTTTAATTAATAATATCTCAAGAGTATTTAATTATATGGTTTCGTTGTGTTTAAGAGAGTATTTATGTATGAGCATGTAAAAGAGAGGGTGTGTATGTAATTAAAATAAGCACAGAAGACAAAATTGTAATTGACTTAAGCTGCTCATCAAATGAATATTAAAATCGTAAAATTACCACGAACTGCGTTAAGCGTACTACCAGTAAATAGGGTGCTTCAGAAAATATTTTTCACATATATTAACGTAGACTTATAACTACGTATAGGGTAGGGTATAGTTTTGCCATGAAGTTTGTAACACTCAGTAGGAGAGGTTGGATACCCTATTAGGTATATATATATATATATAATATGTATATAAGTTAACAACATGTCAGTATATACGCGACTAGCCCTCGTTTTTGGTGGTATTAATCTGAAATTCTGCACAAATTCTTCTCACTCCCAAAAACTTCTCATTTATATAGCATATAACTGCTGTATCAACTGATTGATCAAACTTAAGTTCTTTTATGAAAAACTTGTTTATTTGATAAGATATCTTCTTAAAACTTGGCATAGATTATTGTCCAAAGCAACGCTATAATATATGAACAAATTGTTCAGTTCGGACTACTATATCATATAGCTGACATATATACTGATATATCGAAATTAAGTTCTTGTATGGAAATTTTTTTATTTGACAAGATATCTTCACGAAATTCGGTATAAATTATTATTATTGTTCAGTTCGACTCAAAATAGGTAATAACTGCCATACAAACTGAATGATCCAAATGAAGTTCTTATATGGAAAACGTTTTTATTTGACAATTTATCGTCACGAAATTTGGCACTGATTATTATACAAGCCCGGACTATGATCTATATTGCACCACTATTGTATTTTGCAATTCCAACTAATCATACAAAATTAAGATAAAGATATCAATATACCCTTTTGTGCTACAAGAAATGGACCTGTAAAGGGTACTATAGAAGCTGAAAAAACGTTTTATATTTTTTTTTAACACAGTAAATCTTGAAATAAACAAAGATGCTTGGAAAACAAAACTAAAAAACGAGTTTTTAAAATGTCACACAAAATCGAAGCCTGAATAAAATAAGAAATGAGTATACAATAATGATTTTATTTAAAAAAGAAAACCTTGGAAAAGTTTTATTTTATTTTCTATTCTCTTCATTTTTTCATATGCTCATATACGTTTTTTATGCATTTGTACCACCCTCTACATATACTAAAATCATATCGCGAGTCACATGGCGTATGAGCAACATTGACTGTCAACCTTCAAAATGGCAAATAAAAGTGAATTCACAAAGCATTAAATAATTTTAAATTCACACACACACACATCTTCATAAATACATATATTCACACACATAGTATATAGCAAACATAGACACACACACATACACATGTATATATTATATATGCAAACAATTAAATTATATGTGGTCGTAAATGAAATGTGAAAATGTGTCATTCCAATTGTAGCAGTCGCGTAACAGAAGGCGTTAATGAAAGAGGAAGCAACAAGCCATACCAGCAAAGCGTTGAACTAACAATGCAAAAAGTAAAAGCAAAAAACAGAAAACAAATAAAAAGCGTGCGCTTGCTATTATTTAATGCAACTTGATGCGACATTTATCCAGCACATCCCCGCGACTCACGCCTCAGCAGCGCTAAGCTCACGATTCCACTCTGTTTGTGTATGTGCGCGTGCGTGCGTGTATGTGGTGCGACAAGCGCTTTGGTTGAAATCTCTTTGGTAAACCCAGACATGACACTACGGTAAGACTTTCGTTTGAAAGTTGAGATCTGGCAGTCAGGCAGCTCTGCACGAAGGCAGGATCAACAGCAGTGGCGGTGAAGGCGGTGGTAAACTCACGCGCTGTTGGGTTATCGTCAATGTTAGTGGCGAAAACGATTGTAATGACGCGCCACTGTTGCTGTTGAAATCAAGCTGAAGCAGCGTTGAAATCAAATACCTAGTGCCATCCAACAGTGCTCCCACCTGGCAGTCGCTTTACTGCTATTACTTCGCACAGTGAGATGCATTTCGCTTTTACGAGTGAAGCTGCTGAAGGGAGTAGCCCTTGAACAACATGGAATATGGTGTAATTTTCTTTTATTTACCTTTTGACTTCGTTGTTGCCAGTAAATGGTTATGTTGAATTGGTCACCGATGATTCGCTGCATTTAGTGGACACTTTAACGTTTGGTATTGTTTAATAAACCGCACTTAAGTCATTAGTTGCTTCATATTGTGGATGATATACATAAAAAGCAGGTATAATGTTGAATAATAATAGATGAAATTACAACAACAAGAAACATAAATTATATGTGTGGTATGTGAAACTTCTCAAAGAGAGCAATAACTACTACCTAGAAATAGGTACACTTTATTATTTACCTGTGCATGCATTTTTAAACAAAAAATTTTTTACATAAATATGTTTTACTCTATGATCATATAATACAATTTTAATTTTTAATATATTTTTATTTAAAAGTTCAAAATTTTGAATTATCTGGTAACTCTATTAAAAAAATAAAGTTACCACTGTAAGCTTGAGTCGTGCCTTTGATACCAATAATGTGTTGCTTCTCTACCATACAAATTTTTCAAACTTAAAAATTGTAAACAACTGGCAACTCTTGCCTTAACTATTTGCAACGGAAATCTGTGTCATTTGACGATCATAATTTAATAATTTGTTTAATTTTTTTCTAAAAAATTTTAAATTTTAAACGGCTGGTAACTCGGCTCAAAAAGTATTTTGATCATATGGTATATTTAATGATCATATTATAACTATTATAATATTTTATTTATTTTGTTTTTTGTTAAAAGTTTAAAATTTGATATAGCTGGTAGCTCTATTAAAAAGAAAATAAACTATAACCTTGTTTCGTTCCTTTGATACCAATAATGTGTTGTCCCTTTACCTTAAAATTTTTTTAACGTAAAAATTTTAAACAGCTGGCAACTCTTGTTTAAAATATTACCTGTTTTATTTGGAAAACTTAGTTTAATAAACCGTTTAATTTTTTTTTTTTCAAAATTGCTAAATTTTAAACAGCTGGTAACCCCACTCAAAAATTATTATAAACTAGCTATAACCTCTTTTCTTCCATTTTAAATCAATAAAATATTGTTTTTTTACCTTATAATTTTTTTTTTGATTTCCATTAAAAGCTTTCAAACATGTGGCAACCATTTAAAAAATCTAGTAGGAAAAATCTTTTAAAATATAAATTTTTGCCTATTATTATAATTATATTTATTTATTAAATTTAAATTAATAAAAAATTAATGAGTGGCAGCACTAAAAATAAATTTAACGCAAAATTTATCAGTTATGCCATAGATTTTAAGAACGAAAAGCCTTAAACGATTGTCAGCCATAACAAAAAAAAAAAAAAAGAAAAGATTTTACTGTAAACTTTATTAAGTTAGCAGTTCTGTTAACTTCGAGGTCGTCTTTGGAACCATCACCGGTTGTCTGTCAGTCTGTTCATATCCTGAGTCAACAATTATACAGTGGACGTGGCGCTGTTCACCTTATAAAAATATAATATGGAATCAACTATTATACCAATTTTGGTGAAGGACATCTTTCTCGTTAGACAGTTTAAAAATGGGTGAAATTGGGACACAGTCAGGCCTATTTCTCTCTCTCTCTCTAAAAAGGAAATAGTAGAAATATATTAAAAGCCTTCCCCGAATAAAATGTTCTCCAGCTTTAACAACTTAAAAAATTATTATATCAAGACGGTAAGGATCTAACTGACCCCGGATTGATTTTTGACTGCTTTTGTATTTTGTTGTGTAATATACAAAAAAAAACCTCTGGAAATCAAAAATTTAGAATTTTTTTTTTTTATTTATTTCAATTTGGAAAAAAAAATTTAAATTATTTATTATCATAACAAACTTAAATAAAAAACAATCAATGCAAAACAGCAAATAAAATAAAGCTTTCGCCTTCAGTTATAAAAGCTCTCTAAGCACTCGAATATTGGCGCGCTCTCTCATTTCAACCGACAATTCAGCTCAGCGACAACTAACTCAACGGCGAATTCGCCGCAAACTCGCACAACAATTTCGGGATAGACCTGCACATGCACAGTGCTAACAACAACAAAAACATACAAGGAGTGAAAGCGCTTTTCCCGGAGCAGATTGCGAACTAACAGCAATGCGCTGTGGCATTCAACCAATGCGTGTGTGGGAGAGTGCGTGCTGATAACTGTATATAACGGTATATATGTGTTTGTGTGTGTGCGGCGCGTACTCAAGTCACACACTTTCGAGGCATCGCATGCATCAAGTGAAAAACAGTTTTCCCGGGAACGCGTAGCGTGTTGAACGTACAAGTTCGAAAGCAGCAGCGCAAATTAAGAGAAAAATTAAAAAAAAAAAATCAAAAATAAATACAAAAGGCAAACAGTGAAAGTGTCTGGCAAAATAAATGAGCAGCTTAACAATTTAACGGAAATTGTGTGCGGAATTGAAAATAAAAGTTTACCGTTAACTTGTGAATTGAGGATTTCAATTTCAGTGTGGCGGAGATCAACGGTAATAATTGCGTGGAAATCTAAAAACAGCAAAAACACCAAAAATTGACAACACAACAGGCTTATTTAAATAGAAATAAGCTTGTTTACAAATATAACGGTAAACATTGTCAATATATGTGTGTCACAAAAATTTGAACTAACGGCGCTTTTTGATTTCAAAGGTTGTTTTATGGAAAATTCGCGAATTGCAAATCTTCAATAGCAACAACTGTGTTTGTTGTCTACGAAAGCAACAAGCAAGGTTTCGCATATCAGCCACACAGGTAACAACAACATACTTAGTCGCTTATATTTGAAAACAAAAAAACGACAGCAAAGAAAATGTCGTAAATTTTTTTTTTGCGTTTTGTGGAAATACACATATGCTCACACACACACGCGACATTTGATAAGCTTCAAGAGCAGCGCATGTAGCGCTGATAACGGTTTAGCATGCGTCCAAGGGGAATTGTATGGAATTCGCTTTTGGGCATTGAAATAAAGGTGGCTGTTAAATTAAAACGAGTTCGATTAAATTGTAATACCACGCTGTTGTGTTAGTGCGGCTTATCACACACATACACACATATATTATATATATGTATTAGTGTGAGTCAAAAAACAAATAATGTTTTTTTTCGCTTGGTGCTTCGAAAAATTGATTGGTAGATACCTCTAAGAAACGCTCTCCGAGTATCAGCTCTTAATTGTAACGGGAAGGTCCTTCGCATCTAGTTTTTTTTTCTTATAATAGAATAGAAAGGTTCAACCAATTTTTCGTAGTACCAAGCGAAAAAACATTATTTTTTTTACCCACCCTAATGTATATATTTGAATATTTGTTATAATGCCTTCGTTTGCTGATGGGCTTTGCAATTTACTCTTGACTGAGTTTTGCATTGTTTTCTCGAATGTGGGCTTTAATGAAATTAAGCTGTGACAAATTACCGCAAGCAGCGCGTTTGTTTCTTTAACCAAAAAAAACCGTAATTTTTAAAATGTGTAGGAATTAAGCTGAAAGTCAAATGTCATGTGATGAGGTCTCAATTTTTCTAATATTTTCAATTAAGAATTCGATTTCATAGCGGTATATTTTGAATCTTAAAATAATATTGTAAATAATAAATAATATTAAAGTCACAAATAAAGGAAAATAACACGAAAGCGCATAATGTGGGAAAATTAAATAAATAATAATTATATAAAAATTATGAATTTTGTATCACTATTAATTGATTTTTAAATTCAATTGGAGAAATTTTGAAAAAATTTTCTAACAATAAATATAATATTTGCATTTTAAAAATTTGATTTTCTTAGTTTTTAACCAAATTTAATTTATTTTAATTAAAAAAACACAAAAACAACAATAACAGTTTTATTATTTTTTTATTACAAAAAACATATTTATTTATATTTTGAATTGTTATTATTTTTTTTAGTAAGCAATACCAATAACATTTTTCTTTGGCTTAAAAATTCACAAATTTTTCAATAAGATATATATTTTTTGTTTAATTTTTATAGTTTCTAGGTTTCAATTAACAAAATCAGTGATAATATTTTTAAATTTACAAAATTTACACATTTTATTAATTTTGTTTTTATTGCAATAAATAAAACTAGAAAAACTTTTAAAAAATTTCGAAAAGGTTTTATTTGTTTGTTTTAATAAAAAAAAAAGGAAAAAGTGCACTTCGGCTGTAAGGAAGCTACAGAACTACTTACAAGTGCATTTCTTATAGCAATTAGAGATATAACTAAATCTAAAATCGTGACCAGCCAACGGTTTTCCTCCAACGGAAAACGTTTTGCTCGTTTTTTCTATCCACGAGTTTTGTCCTAAACAACCTTCCTTTCGAAACTTACTGAATGAGAAACAAAGATATTCGGTTCGAATAGTAGCTATATGTATTTCATGAAGATATTTTGTCAAATAAAAAAGTTTTCCATGCAAAAACTTGATTTTGTAAGATTAGTTTGTATGATTGCTATAGGCTATAGTTGTCCGATATAGGCGATTCCGACAAGCAGCTTCTTGTCAAGATGCGAAGAAAATAGTGTGTGCAAAATTACAGATCAGACAGAAGGACAGCTCGTCCCGCTGATCATTATTTATTTTACACAAACTTCTTGGCAAACTTAATATACTTGTTTAGGGTATAAAAATATATTTTTTTTAAATGAATAAAATTTATTATAAGCTTTTGTTACTTCAGGAAAAAAATTTTAAAAAAATTAAACAAATTTTTGGTTTTAATAAAACAAACCTTAGTGAAGTCTGTTTGGCTTCAACCTTAAAAAACCAACTTCAACGAACTGGTTTTCTCTAGCCAAATTAAGTACTTTGTTTCTGGTCTATAATATATTTTTTTTCACAATTATTAAAATAGAGTTAACATACGCATATTCAATTACAGCTACTCATAATTACTCTTTGGTAGAAAGAAGTATTTTTTAACAAAATAAGTTTTATTAGAAATATAATATATTTTTACTAAATTTAGTAAAATTAAATATTAGTAAACTTAAATTCAATAAATGTTACCATGAATATTGTAAAAAATCATAACTAAGAAGATATTTTACATAACATCCACCCTACATTGGTATGAAAAAACGATATTTCTGTACAATTCTTATTATTTTTTACCTTAAACACCAAACAAAAAATAGCTTATTTCGTTCAAAAATTAAAAAAAAAAATTTTAAAAAATCTAAAAATATATTTATTTTCATTTATTTTGGTACTGACATTCAAAGCTGCATTAGCAACACAGTCTTTTCACAGAGTGTCATAGTTGCCAAATGAAGTGCTCAGCAATAAATTTCATTTGTTTATTTGTTTCAGCATTTTCAATTCATAACAGAAACTCAAAATTTGCTGCATTCTATTTGCGGATATTCTTCTTAGTCATGATCAAAAAGTTTACAGTGCATTGAATCTTCCAGCAAGATTCTGCAAAGGCTACCCAGCAGTGGCTTCAAAGCAATATTTGTGCTTTTATAGCTGCACATGATTGGCCATCTGTAGCCGTAAAATATCTCTGTATGGATTACAGCTCTACTTACATATTGCTATAACAAATTTATTATTATTTTCCAAAGTTAAATACTAATCGTTATATTTAGACCCTTAAACCTTCACTATTCTAAATAACTTTTAGAATAATCGTATATTCACGTGCTGATAATTGAATTTTGGCCAGACATTAGAACCCATTAAATTACAAAAGGCTTAGTGCCGTTGTAAGCTACTTAAATATACAACCGCAAAATGCATGGCGTGTGCATACTTACACACTACTATATTCAGCCTTACCTACGTTGCCATAAGCGCATTTCACACTTTTAAACCAACGAATTCGCATAGGTTGTGGTTATGTAAATGTGTAAGTGAGTATATGCGCATTACAATTGTTTACTAATGAATTAATCTTGTTGGTTTTATAATCGCGATTTTGTGTCCCAAAACAATTCACTATCAGTTGCTATAAAAAAAAGTTCGCTGCTGTGCATTTCGTTACTCATACGCCATGGCAACGGCGTGTGTGGTAAATGGAAATAAATTTCAATAAGCTTTATTTTTTCACTTTTATTTATTTCTGTTACGCTCGTGAATATTCGGCATAAATAAGCGATATTTACTGCCATTGTGGTTAAGGTGTTTTGTACTCTGCGCGTTTTCGGCGTTTTATTAACATTTTGCGGTGAACTTTTTTTTTCACAGTGTTGTGGCACAAATTGAATATTGATAGCATGAAAATAGCGGAAATTGTTTAATATTGAAAGTTTTTTGCTGAAATTTGTGTATATGAGTCACTGTATGCCTTGCATCTGTTGCGCTTTGTTGAGACTTGACACGGCGTATGAGTAACTTTTCATTCGATGAATATTTTATTGATATTTTTTTCTGTGTAGTTAGAAAGAATTTTAAATATTTAAAGTTAATTGCACTAAAAATTATCAATTAGCAAGCTATTAACACCGTTGATTTAACAAATTTTTTTCTCAAATAATTTTTTTTTCATAAATTTTATTTTTTAGGTTTTTTAATGTTTTTGTGGTATTTTTGGCTTATGTTATTTAGATAATATATCAATTGAAGACTTTCATATAATATAGCTCATTTCAACCAAATAATTTGAATAAAAAATACCCATAAGATTTTTTATAAAAGTGTGCGAGCTCTAAATGTCTGAATATATTTCATACCCTCCTTCCCATCCAACAAATATTTTAATTAAATCACCAGAACAGCTGTTGTATTTCTTGTCTGTCAGCTGCAGCCGCACAAAAATTCTGTTGCAGCCAACAACAATGCCTACCAGAACACATTAGTCTGCACTATTATAAAAGAATATTAAACACCGGGCGTTTATACATCATTCACAGCAAGCACAAAATCAACAAAATATGCGAATTCAGCGCATTATTCATTTCAGAATGTAATCTCATCAACCGTTGCTTCGAAACCAATCCATTTCAGTTACATTCATAACTGAACACGTGTGTGTGTATGTGTTTGTTTAGCGGTAATGCTTGCAAATATTTCGCCTTCACTCAATATCAAATCGCAATTACTTATCAAACAGTTACCAGTATTCAGGGTGAACCAGCAGTAAATTTACACGAGCACCCGCACACACACACACTTGTCTGAGTACACACATATGCGCCGAAAAGCATACATCATTTCAGCGCTTATTATTTGCATAAACGCATACATCAGTTAGTGGTTTACTGCATTACGCACAGATTAAATACCGAATTACTATTGTGGGGACTAGAATTTTGTGTTCATAAATATTTGCGTGCCATAAATAGTACCTATTTATTTAGATGGAATTGGTGAATTATTTATTTTTTTGATTTTACTGTTTCTTGTTTATCACATGCTTACTTTTAATAAGGTTATATTAAATTTGGCACGAAGTATATAACACTCAAAAGGAAACGTCGGATAGCCTATATGTATAAAATATAAATATAAATGATCAGCGTAACGAGCTGAGTCGATTTAGCCATATCCGTTTCTTTGTCCGCCTGTCTGCCTGTATATCCTCGAATTGAGACAATAGTTCGTTTCCGAAATATTAATTAAATATCTTGCACACATTCTTTTCTTTCCAAGACGCTGCTCATTTGTTGCAACCGCCGATATCGGATCACTAAAACATATATCGGCCATACAAACAAAACGATCACAATAAAATTTTTATATGGAAAAGTTTTTATTTGACAAGATATCTTTACAGAATTTGGTGTTAATTACTATTTAAAG